AACCAGCTCTCCGCATGTCAGAGAAACTGGAGAGGAGTTGTGGAGTAGATGGACAGTCAAACAGACACATGGGGACTTCCTGAGGGGCAAAGCTTAATCCACAGTTATAGAATTTATAACCCAAAGTCAGCAGGCAAAAGGAAAAACTGCATAGTTGCCCAGGCTTCTCAAAAAGTATTCTAAAGCCAGCTGACCAGAGCACAGAGACAGATGAATCAGAAACTGGTGAGGAAAATGACGATGTTCACAAACCACAGACAACTGAAAACTCTGAATGTTGGTATAGACCTCTGGGAGAAACTGACCAAAGAAATGGTTGTGCTGTGCAATTTAGAAAAATGGCAGCTCCTGCAGGAGACAAGCAACAAAACAGAGCCCATTCCTACACTGCTGAAGCACCCCTGCAAGTACTAGCAAGGACTTAAGAAAATGTGAGGTATGATAATAGGAGTTCCACTATTCAACTGAATACAGGAAGCTCCTTTTGTCAGGCCCGAGCGATGATTCGACTATTACTTTGCTAAATGGACATAGTATCAAATTGTTGTCTAAATTTCTATGTCTACACCCATATATTAGTGCAGCTCTCAGTACTTATTCAAGAAATTTCAGCAGTTGATACAGAAACTCACAACGGCTCAGAATGCAGAGGATGTAACTAGGGATCAGTAAGTGTCCTCAACCACAAATGGGGCATCTACATTATCAAGCACACAAATACAAAGAGAAAGGGTGGGTACCAACACAGAAGAGGGTGCACGGAGAGGCCGTAAGAGTAAGAGGTCTGGAAAGGCCAGAGTAAAACAGTGTCTTCTGTGGGTGACTGCACAGGACTTGCATGAGATCAAATTAGTCAACATTCTAGCATGGAGTGGGGAAGAGCTCATGAACACCCACACTTAGCTGAAGAACTATTGACAGTTAATAGCTTCTGGAGGAGGGAGAGTTGGTTTTCTTTAAGGGTGTGGCCCCTGCTAGGTTGATCAAGCATCAGTGCTACACAATAACTATGTGGGCAGCACAATTTGGTACCTCAGGGTTATAGAAGAGGTAGTATTTCTCTTGTTTTTTATGTTTCTAAATCTTTACATTTTATGCAATAAGTGTTGTATTTGCTGGTTTTCTGCTGCTGTAACAGAAAACTAGAGATTGGGTGATTTACTTACAAAGGGATTATTTCTTAATCTAAGAGCTGGAACATCTAAGAGGGCACAGTGCTTATGTTTAGTCTTTGTGTTCCATTCCCCATGGCAGAAAACAAGGGGACAAAGGGCAGTAACAACAGGGATCACAAAGTTAATCTTGCTTTTATAACAAATCACTCTGGCAATAACTAACTTACAACCATGCTAACCCCTCATGAGGGCTGAGTCCTCAAAATTCCAAACATTTTTAAAATACTATTATAGTTAAGATTAAACTTCAACTTGTGTTTTGGAGGGGACGCTCAAACCATGAAAATGTAAGTGTATCATTTTAAAATTGGAAAACTACAAAGATACAAATTCTAATGACATTACAATGTTATCTGCTCATTTGAAGTAATCTTTTAGTGTTTATTTTTAGAAAATATGACTCACTTCTAATGTCAGACTCCAGCCAGAAAGACGTTCAGGCCACAATACCTGCAAGAGCCCTATCCCTCTTGCATATGCTGACAGGCACCCTACTAAGAAACTGTGAACTTCTAGCTAATAGGGCTTCCAGGTGCCAGGATTTCTCATTTGGGTAACTGGTTCACAAAAGTGGGTACTGGTGGCCATACACATGCTCTGGTCTCCTGTCTCCTGCTAGGAAAACAGAAAGCAAAAGGCCCAAACTCCTGCCTCATGAGCCTGACTGTTGCAGAGTACCCACCAAGTTCTCTATCTCTAAACTCTCCTCAGAGCCCTGCCCCATACTGGTATCTATTTGTTCATGGTATTACTAGCCCTTCTAATAAACTTCTTACCCTCAACAATCCATCTGAATGTTCCTTTGAAACTCACATCTACTCCTTTCAACCCTTTTATTTCTTCATATAGAGCCATTTCTGTAAGGTTTTTTTTTTTTTTTTTGGTTTTTTTCGAGACAGGGTTTCTCTGCATTGTTTTGGAGGCTGTCCTGGAACTCACTAGGTAGACCAGGGTGGCCTCGAACTCACAGAGATCCGCCTGCCTCTGCCTCCCGAGTGCTGGGATTAAAGGCGTGCGCCACCACCGCCCGGCTGTAAGTTTTTTTTTTAATCAATGTTAATGGAGACTTCCATTGGTATAACTGCATTAATTCATGTATCATGCATGGCTGAAGAATATTAGTGTGAAAAGACATAAATATGTATAACACATTTCTCTTGTGCCTGACCACTATATATACGTGGTTAGAAATGGAAAAGGAATAAATTTTAACAAAGCAATGGAATTTGAATCTTAAGAGACTTAAAAAATGGTTCCTGTAAATCTTTTGCTAATGGAAATATTAAGTGATTTACTGTGTTTGAAGCAGATTCATTCCTTCCTATTAATGAATAAAGTTAATCATATATTCACTTCTCGGTAACCAAATTACAGGGGTTTAACCGAAAGAGAAGACCCCAAAAAGTATGAATCTAGGAGTTTGTACAAGATGATAGTCCAGCTGCCACCTTTTTCTGATAAATGGGAGCAAATATTCCTTGGGAGGAAAAACTGAACTGATGCCTGTGGGATATAAATATCCTTTCCAGGGGAACAGCAGCCTCACTGAGTTTTCAGTCCTGAGAATGCATCTAACCTTCTCGGTTTATATCCCTTTAAGTATAAACACTCCAAACTATCTAATCAATCATCTTTTAACTTCAAAGCTTGTCCTTTAACCCAGTTTCCATTTAGAAAGTGCTAGCAATGCAGAAACATGAAAATATTTACTTCTTACAGACACAGTACAACTAACCAAAATATCAGTACATGAAGCACTGATTACTGCCATTTACCTAAAATTGGGGTGTGTTCAGAATCTTTTTTGCTTAAAATCTGGGAATTCTTCAGAGGGATCCAAGAGTCTCTTTGCAGAATACAATGTGGGCAAGATTCTGGGTCCTCAGTCTCTGTTTTAAACATTGCTCTTCTGTTTATATATATATATTGGGCTCTCAAGCAGGTTTTTGTTACCTTTTTTAAAAATTTGTCTTTTGTTTTGAAGGTATGACTTGATAAAATGAAATTGATATCCACTGTAAACATACACACAATTTAGATAGCCTAAATAAAGATTGCAACATTATAGAAACAAGCAGACTCCACTCATATTCATACTCTTGTCAGTTATAGAAATAATAAATGTAATTTTGATGCCCATCACTCTGTTTCTTGGCTCCCCTTGTAGTGTAGATTATTGAATTACTGACATATATGTGAAACAGGAAAAATAAAAGACCCAGAGACCAATATTGGGTTTCAAACTTTAAGCTGAAGTTCAGAAAAGCAAACCAGCTGGCCACTAGCTCTCACGTCTAGCTCAGGCTGAAAGGGCTGTCCCATGAGCTCTCCTCACAGCATGGCTGGAGAATAAATGCTTCCTACTGAATACTGAAGACTCTGCTTCTATTTTGTATATCCCTCTAGTGCTGGGATTACAGGCATGTGATCTGTTTCTCTTTTAAACTGATTCAATCTCCCTGAGTGGCCTTGAACTCAAAGAGATGCCTCTGCCTCTTAATCCTGAGTCCTAGGATTAAAAGTGTTTACCACCATCTCCTAGCTTCTGACTGCTGGGATTAAAGGTGTGTGTCTGGCTTCTATGGCTTTCAGCTGACTTCCTTTTCTGAATCCTCAGGCAAGCTTTAATAAATCATAAGTATCACTACATATATGTGTGATATACGTGACTTATTTATTCAATACGTGTGAGTGCCAAACTGCCAGATACTAAGCTAAACGCCTGGCCCAACAAAATGTTTAGAAAAGTTTTGGTCAGGATAGAACAACACAAATGTAGTTTGCAGGCTTTAATCATATCACTATCTCTTGATGATGAGATTATCCTTCCATGACTAATCATTTGTCTTCAGAACAAAGAAATATGGTCAATCTTGGGTTATATATTGAGAACTTGTCCCAAAGGCAAAAAAACTGAAGAAAACAAGAAAGTCCAACAGAACTGCTCAAGAATAAACCACCACCATGAAAAAAAAATCAAACCTCACCCACCCACCTCCCCAAAACCCTGTGTTTGTGTATCCATTAATGAAGAATAAAGCCACTCTTTTTAGTCTACCACGGAAAGATGTCAGAGACTGAACAGAGCCCAAAATGCTCTGTAACGGTGCTCTGGCTGAATGAAACCCACAGGGGACAGGAGGGTGGCTCAGTGGTTAAGAGGACTTACTGCTCTTGTATAGGACCCACGTTGCTCGAAGCACTTACATGGCAAACCACAACCACACTCTTCTGATTTCCAAAGGCATCAGGCATGTCAGAGATGCATGTGCATAAATACAGGCAAAACATTCATACACACAAAAAATCTAAACAAACAAAATCTCCATAGGTCCATACTATACACTGGTCAAATTTAGTGAGCCTCAAACTTCCCCGAGCTGATTTCAGTATTCTGAAAGACTACGGGGAACTCACTAAAACTACTAATTTGAAATTCCATCTTCTACAATAATATCTGGAACAGGTATCTTATGCAAAAGATGTCATTCCTGAATTACCCCGTTTCTTCATAATTACCAAGATTTTAAAATTGAGGTTAAATTTCCTTTTTCCCCCTTTAAAAAAAATAACTTTTTCCTAACTTTGTCAACTTCCACAAGAACTGAAACACAGGGGTCCGGTCAAGTCCAGCATCAATTAGTACAGGCTCTCTAAGTTATCAAGGTAGCTTCCTAAAACTAAGCTTTTGGCGGGATGTAGTGTTTTTTAAAAGTTACCAAAACTTGGAGGACTAGAAGGGAGGGGTGGAGAAGAGAAGCAGGGCACGATCGCGGCCGTGAGCGCTCTCCTCAGGGAGTCTGGGCTCTTAGTATCTGAGGGTACCTGACTGCGGGCGGCCGGTCCACAGCCCCCTCCAGCCCGCCCGGCCTCGGCCGGGTCTCCGAAAAGCCAACGCCCTGGCCAGCGTCCACAGCATCGTCCCTCAGCCGAGTGAGAGCGCTCCCGCTGCCTCCCTCCTAGACCTTAGGACCCTCCGCCCCCTCCATCCAGTTCCCTCAGCCACGCCCCCCCCCGGGTTCACCCCGTCCCACCGCTGTGCCGCGTCGCCGGCCTCCATCTCATTGCCCCTCGGCCCCGCCCTCCCTGGCTCCAGCCCCTAGGCTCCGCCCCCTGTAGTTCCTGCCCCCCTCAGCCCCACCCACTCTGGCTCCTGTCCTCTCAGCCCCGCCCCCTAGGCCTCATCCCTCTCCATCCACTCCCGCGCCTCGGCTCTCGCTTCCACCCCAGTCCCGCGAGACTTGCTCCTTTTTAACCAGGGCCCACAACTCCGGCCCTTAGTCTGGCAGATGCTTCAGGCCCAGTCTTCCCCGAAGCCTCAGAGCTCAATGGCCCACCCGCTAGGCTCCGCCCCTCTCCCACCCGCCCGCCCGCCCGCACTCTCCCACACCCCATAAAGCGGGACGAAGGGTTTTGTCTTCCACTTCCGCCTTCGTGTACTTGCGGCCTACGGAAAGCCGCCGGTGGCAGTGTTCTTGCTGGGCTCGAGGGTTTGTTTTCCCCCTTACAGTCTTTCCTCCCTTCAGACCCACCACCATCCGCCGACTTGAGTGACCTATTTACTGGCCTTCCAGCGGGAGCTTTGTGAGGTCGGAACCTTGCGCAGCCGGAACTAAGGTGTCGTACGGTGCTAGCAGCCGGAAGGCCACATAAATAGAGCAATACCAGTTCATTTCTGGCGGTCGATCGTTAGAGTTCCGGTGAGGGGATCGGCGACTAAAGTCTTCAGCTTCATTTCCTGATATGCACCGACCGAATTTTCGACCCCCAACTCCTCCGTACCCCGGGCCGGGGATAGGAGGCTGGGGTGGCGGAAGCAGCTTCCGGGGTGCCCTGGGAGGGGGGCCGCGGCCGCCCTCCCCGCGGGACGGGTACGGGAGTCCGCACCACACTCCGCCGTGCGGGCCCCGGGCTAGGCCGTACGGGAGCAGCCACTCTCCGCGGCACGGCGGCAGCTTCTCGGGGGCCCGCTTCGGGTCTCCGTCCCCGGGCGGCTACCCAGGCTCCTACTCCAGGTCCCCCGCGGGGTCCCAGCATCAGTTCGGCTACTCCCCAGGGCAGCAGCAGACCTACCCCCAGGTAAAGACAATAGTTAGCGTTTGCCGAGCTCTTCCTGTAATGGCAGGCGTGATACTAAAATTCCCTTTACGTGGATTGTTTAATCCTCTGTGAGGCAACATACTACGTTGACCCAGTTTTGCCTATGAGTGAACGGAAGCGTAAAGAAATTATTTAAGATTACCATACGTGGCAGAGCTATCGTTCTGTTCCACAGAAATTGTGCTCTTAACGAGTATACCGTATTTCTATACAATTTTTCTTAACCCTCCATTTCTTCTCTCACAACCCCAGAGGTTTTTTGTCAGTTATTTTCAGTAAATAATCCTGGACTCGTAGAGGGAGGACATGAATGATTCCCCACTATTTTATGGCTTCTCTAGATTATAGTCCACTGCCATTTCCTACAGATGTCCATCCCTTGGTTTTGCTTTCTTGCTCTTTTTTTATCGTTATAATTTTTTCCCAAGCTATATTGACTTCTACTTCAAGTTGTCTTGAAGGAAAAAATCGAGAAACAGGGATTGTGGAAATTTCCCTTCCTCGAAATGAGTGAAAACCCAGGGGAGGAAGTAGCTCTTTGGTTAACTACTTGAATCTACAGTGTTTTGCAAATTTGAATATTCTCACCCAACTGAATTTCTTAGAGATGGAGTTTTTTTAAGTATAGGAAATTTTCATGCATTATAAAAGTTTGAGACCTATAAGGTTAAAAAGTAAGTTTTCAAGAAAAATTGAGAACAATTAATTTGATCACTGCTTGTGCTGCAGGGTTATCACATTAGAAACTCAAGACAGGGCATCTTTTTAAAAAAAATGAAAAATACAATTACTTTTAGTAATTTTTATTTTTGTTTTGTTTTTTGAGACAGGGTTTCTCTATGTAACAGCCTTTGCTGTCCTGGAACTAGCTCTGTAGACCAGGCTGACCTCGAACTCACATGGATCATGCCTGCCTCTGCCTCTCAAGTGATGGGGTTATAGGTGTGGGCCACCATAGCCAACTGGCTTAGAGTAAACAAGAAATTTGCAATTGAATATGTTGGGCATCAATTTTCACCTTTTAGATGTTGATCCCCACTCATCTTCAGTTAGAGTCAAAAGTACCAATTATCTCTATTAGATGTTTTTTTAACTGATGATTTTTTTCCTAAAGGGTTCTCCAAGGACATCTACACCATTTGGATCAGGGCGTGGTAGAGAAAAAAGAATGTCTAATGAGTTGGAAAGTTATTTTAAGCCTTCAATGCTTGAAGACCCTTGGGCTGGCCTAGAACCAGTATCTGTAGTGGATATAAGCCAACAGTACAGCAATACGCAAACATTCACAGGCAAAAAAGGAAGATACTTTTCTTAACTTTTCTGAAATTCAACTGGAAGCTTCATGTGTCAGGAACATCTTGGACAGAACTTGTACTTGTATAAATGAGTTGAACCTAAAGATGATGACTTTGGAAGGTGATCATGATTAGCAGACCCTTGGGATATCTCTAACTTTGTCAAATGTTGTTGATGTTAGAGAAGACGATAGAATCATATGCAGTATTTAGGTAATATGGGAGTGTGTACCACATTCAGAAGACCAGTTTCCATATTTAGTATTTCTAAAGTAACAGACATTTGTTTTTTTCAGTGGTTTAAAAATAAAACATTTTTGTCTTCCTATTTAAATTGTGATTTTGTAGAATTGCTAAAAAAATGCTTCATAATCACTTAAAATTTGAGGGTAAATGTTTTGTAAACTATTTTTTAGTAAAATAGATAAGCTACTTTAGACAGTTCTCTATATTTATTAATAGAAATTATTCTACATTCATATTTTATCTAGTATTTTTGTTAAAATATTGAAACTTAATATCACTCAACATAATTTTTACACCTTTAACCAGAAAAGGCAAGGATAAATCATGTATGTGCAGGTCAGCGTCCTACCCAAATTTCTCTATATTTTGAGCATTGTAGATTTACTTCCTCTTGAAGTAAAAGAAGATGGTGAGTTGATTTCTTGTTGTGATAAAATGCCAGACAAAAACATTGAAGGGATTTTGGTTCATAGTTTCTAAGGTTTCAGTGAAAGGTTAGCTAATCTATTAATTTGGTCTTGAGTTGAGCAAGAATATGGCTGAGTATTTCTGACGCTGCTCACCCTTGACAATCAAGCAGCAGAAAGTGGGAAGGGGCTAGGGACAAGAGAAGCCTTTCTGGGGCATTTTTACCTTCTACATCCCAATAATACCATCATGTGAACCATTAAGGTATTAATCCACTGATAGGTAAATACCCTGATGATGTAATCACATCTCAGTGATTAGACAAGTGGGGAGACCCTTCATATCCATACTATAACAAATGACTAGCAATAATCTCAAGCCACTTCCAAGGCAGATATACGAAGCTAGTTAACTATGACCTAGACAGTAAGGCTTAATTATCTTGACTCATGGACACATTTCTAATCTGAAGGAGAGTTCTGTGAACTTTAGCTCATTTTGCCTTCCTGTAGTAGAAGGGAAGGAGGATAAAGTATTGAAGAATATTCCCCAGTTATTTAAAAATCAAGTCTTGAACAGTGCATTCTGTTGAAAAATTTATCAGCATTCTCCAAAAGAAAAATGAAATGGCCATTCCACCTAGTTGAACCATACATATTTATATTTGTTGATAAGGTCTTAAAATGGCAAGAAAAATAAAACACAGGAAGATTTTATATAAATAAAACCTCCATTGTAACCAGAACTTTGAAATTTTTCTGAGTTTTTGGCTAGATACTTCAGTTTTATCATGTAAAATGAGGACATTCATTGTACTTATGTTCACTTATCCCTGTATTCTGAGTCTTTAGAACAGTACCTTCAAACTAATAGGTACTACTACGTAAATGCTTAATACATATTTTGATTATAACTATTTTATTGCTCTGCCTGGTCCCGTGTATATAAGGGGTAACACAATAATATATGGTTATTTGAAAGAAAACATCCATTTTCAACATCATGGGTTTTTTCATGTGTCATATTCATGAAAATGAAAGCATTTTGTAAAATGCTTATTGAACTTCATAAATAAAAAATAACAGTTGAAAACAATTACTAAACAATCTCTTAGAAAGTATGTTGTTGGCAAAGATGAAAAATAGAGCCAGACACAATTTTACATGGTCATAATCCCAGCTGCTCCAGAGGATAGGCTGACTTGATTGTAAGTTTGAGGCCAGCCTGAGCAATTAGCAAGACCTAACAAAAATAATGAAGCTATGAAAGATTTTTGTTTTGTTTGTTTTTAGAGACAGGGTTTCTCTGTATTGCTTTGGAGGCTGTCGGACCCGGCCTCGATCCGCCTTCCTCTGCCTCCCGAGTGCTGGGATTAAAGGCGTGCACCACCACCACCGCCCTGCTAAAAGATTTTGTGTATTGTGTTTGTACCATATTTGGAAGGCATTCAAATACAGCTTAAAGAGTTCACATTTTGTGTTTCTGCTGGACTTTAAATGAAATATTTTTTTAAAAAATTTAAGCTCTGTTACCGACATCTACTTCCAGAGGTCTATCGAACGTTTCTGGCTTTTTAAGGAGAAAACTTTGTCCTCAGCCAAAGTGCATACACTATTAGTTATGTGTTCAGAATTGGGTTTTTGATGGGGTTTTGGTTTGTTTTTGCATTGCAATAGAGTCTGGCTATGTAACTCTGGCTTGCATGAACAGTTACACTTGCATATGGAAATGTTCAGAATTCAGATGTTTTGTCAAGTAAAGGAGATGGCAGTGGTTGTTTAATGACTTTGTCCTTTTTTTTTTCTTTTTGGTTCCCTTTTTTAAAAATTAGTTTTTGGGTGAATCACATGATTTTTTGTTTTTCGAGACAGGGTTTCTCTGTAGCTTTGGAGCCTGTCCTGGAACTAGCTCAAACTCACAGAGATCCACCTGTCTCTGCCTCCCAAGTGCTGGGATTAAAGGCGTGCGCCACCATTGCCCAGCACAGAATACGTATTTTACTTTGACAAAATACGTACAATTAGTAGAACCTGCACGTTAAAATAGGAGTAGCCAAGCATGGTGGCACATGCCTTTATTCCCAGAACTCTGGATGCAGAGGCAGGTGGATCTCTGAGTTAGAGGTTAGGTTGGTCTACATAAAGGCTTCATAGTAAGACCCTGTCTCCCAAAAACAAAACTCTATAGAAATAAGACTAAATTGTCCAAAATGTAGTCTAGAACTTAGTATATTTAAACAAAGAATCGGATGTCTTTATTCTGCTCTAATGCACTAAAAACATAATCAGTTATAAAATTTCTGTTCTTTATAAATATAATCTTCAAGAAATCTGAGATTTAAACTCCCGAAAGTAAAATGACTTTTAAGTATAAGGATTATGGACTGCTTTGTAAGACCTTTTGGATTACTCTCAAGGGATTGCAGATATGATTTGAACAACTAGATCTTCATTGGAAGTGGTTTCAGTTCTGTGCTTTTAAGAAAAGTCAAGGTAATTGAAGAAGGATGTGTGGTAAACGCCTATAATCTCAGCCTGTACACTATTAATCCCAGCCTATGATCGAGGTATATCACATTGCAATAGGCAGAGATAAGAGAATTAGGAGTGTAAGGCCATCCTCATCAACATTGTGACTTTGAGGTCACCATAGGCTATGAGACTGTCTCCAAAACAAATTTATAATAATCTAATGGTAAGTCAGCTTTGGTCTTTTAGAGTATAATTAGGAGTTCAAGGATTTTTTTATATAAAAATACTTAATTTTATGTGTTTGTGTTTGGATAAATGTGTGTACACTGTTTGCTTGCAGGAGTCCCTGGGAGTTAGAAAAGACATTATATTCCTAGAACAAGTTTCAGAAGGTTGTGAAGTACCATGTAGGTGCTGGGAAGCAAAACTGGGGGATCTGCAAGTACAACAGGCATGCTTAGCCCCGGAGCCATCTTTCCAGCCCCCTTTCCAGCTCTTTCCTTATGCATATAGAGAATGAGTTTTTAAACATGTCTTTAAAATAGTAGTAAAACTGATGCCTTTAATATTTTTGTCAAAATTAATATATTTGCTTTTAATTTTCAAATTTTAACTTATTTTAATTTTTTGGTTTTATCACTTGGAGAATTATTGAAGCTACTGGAAATAGATTGTTTTAGACACTAAAAATATGAATAAATGTAACATTTTGCTTTCTCTTTGAGGCAATCTCATATAGTCCAGAGTAACTTTGAACATACTTTGTAGCAGAATGATATTGAATTCCTCCTGATGCTCCTGCTTCCACCTCCTAAGTGCCAGGATTGTGGGCATGTGTAGCTATGCCTGCATGATTATAGTGTATGTGAAGAAGCAGATAGGGTGTCAGGGTCAAACCTGGAGTCATACTCCCTTACATTGAGATTAAATTACATGGGGAAGGAAGGGAAATGCAAGTTTAGAATAAATAATACAACTTTCTACCTGTTAAAGTAAATGTTAAATCTCTGTGATATCTAGATTCCGTTTAGATAACTTTATAGTAAAGTAAATCATCTTAAAATAGTAGTGTTAAATGACTAATTTTTAAAGTGATGAAAAAAATTTTTGAGACAGGGTCTCATTATATATCTCTGGCTATCCTGGAACTTATTGAGTAGACCAGGCTGGCCTCAGACTCAGAGATTTGCCTGTTTATATCTCCAAAGTGTTGGAATTAAAAGCCATATACTTTTTCGAAATTACTAAGTGTGGGGCCAAATTTTTAGTGATCCCAAATCAGCTGAGGAAGAAGGGAAGGAAATACAGTAAACTCAACCCAAGAAAAGGATGAAAAAGTAAATCTTAAAATGCCAGCAGTAAACTGGGCATGGAGACCCAAGCTCATAGGCAGACTCATAGGCAGGCCAATCTCTAAATTAAAAGACTGCCTGATCTACATAGAAGGTTCTAGGCCAGCCAGAGATACATGGTCCATTTATTTTCAGTTACAAAAATAAATCTTAAGTAGTTTTGCCTTTACAAAAGATCATAAACTAATATTAGTACAATATAATATATTGCTCCTGTCGGGGGAGGAATACATCTAAAGTAGGTTTTTTTTTTTTTTTTTTTAAAGAATCAGGAATGGCCGGGGCGTTGGTGGCGCACACCTTTAATCCCAGCACTTGGGAGGCAGAGGCAGGCGGATCTCTGTGAGTTCGAGACCAGCCTGGACTACCAAGCGAGTTCCAGGACAGCCTCCAAAGCCAGAGAGAAACCCTGTCTCGAAAAAACCAAAAAGAAAAAAAAAAAAAAAGAATCAGGAATGAAGATATGGGTCAGTTGATAGAGGCTGGCCTAGGAAGCACAAAGCCTTAAATCTGATCCCCAGCACATCATAATACCTTGCATGAAGGTCTACCTCTTTAATCCCAATGCCTAGGAAATGGGAGACAGAATAATTAGAAGATCAGGGTCCTTGGCTTCACAACTTGAACTCAGCATAGGTTTCATAAGACCCCATTTCATAAATTAGGCAATGCGTTCAATAGTGCACATAACATTCAGGCAAAACAAAATATTTCTAAGTAACAAATACGAAATTAAAGCTGCAATGCATTATATCGCATCAAACTTGATACAATTTTAAAAGCCTCATATAGATGCTTGTGACAATATAGATTTAAAATAACTTACTGAACATTTGGTTTATATAGTAACCTTGAAGATGCTTGGTACCATAGACCCCAACAAATGTAGTGATTATGGGATGGGCTTGTAACTACAATTTATGTCATTCACACTTTTCTAGCCACAAAATATTTGCAATTTCAGCAAAATATTTTTCTAATATTTAAATTCACGTGTAAATAATTTTGAAGTGAAGTGTGTTATTGCAATATTTGTATACTGTGTGTACTGATTGGATGAAGGCAACTGGCAAATCCATCACTTAGAACATTTATTATTTTTTTGTTTTTATTAGTACTTATTTTGAACATGCATTTATTAAAAGCCCTATGTGCTTTTATAGAACATAGAAGTCACTCTTGCTGTTCAGCTGCATCCCTTTTCCTGTTAGCTATCATTACCCCACCTGTCTCCTGTCATCCTTCTCAGTCGTGATTGCACTTGTGGCTCTTGCTGTCCAGCTGTATCTCTGTTCCTGTCAGCTGTCATCACCCCGCTTACCTCCTACTCATCCTTTTCAGCCATGATTGCTCTTAAAATTCAACATCTCAATGAGAACACAGTATTTGTGTTTTCCTTACTTATTTCATTATGTAATGTTATTCAAAAGGCTGGGTGGTGATGGGGTACACCTTTAATCTGAGCACTTGGGAGGCAGAGACAGGTAAGTTTGAGGCCAGCCTGCTCTACATAGTTCTAGGACAGCTAGAGCCACATAGTGAGACCCTGTCTGAAAAAAAACAAAAAAACCAACAAGGCTTATCTATATTACTGCAAATGACAGAATTTCATGGTTTTTATGACTTGTTAGTGTGTATGTATCACATTTTCTTTAGCCATTCGTCATTTAGTAGAAACCTACACCAGTTTCATATTTTTACTATTTCTAGTGAGTTGCTGTATGTGTGGATAAATGGGTTCTAAACTTGAAAAAAATTATTTTGGGGGCATACACATGCCATGGTGCAAATGTAGAGGTCAGAAGACAATTCATGGGACTTGGTTCTCCTTCCATGTGGGTTCCAGGGGTCCCCTTGGGTCATCTGTCTTGGAGGCAGCCATCTTTACCTGCTCAGCCACCTCACTGGCCCTGTTAAATCTGGAGTTTAATTGTGAAAGCAAACGACCTAGACTAGCCAGTTCAATAGAACATGAACCTATAAAAGTCTAGCAGAGACTATGACGGGCTGAGAGCTGGCTCAGCAGTTAGGAGCACTAGCTGATCTTGCAGAAGATGAGGATTTTGTTCCGAGCACCTATATGGCAACCCCATGACTGTCTAACTTTAGGATTATAGTTCTCAACCTTCCTAATGCTGAGACCCTTTAGCACAGTTCCTCATGTTGTGGCCACCTCATGAAATTATTTCTTTGCTACTTCATAAATGTAATTTTGCTACTGTTTCCTCTTTTTTGTTTTTGTTTTTTTGTTTTGTTTTGTTTTTTTCAAGACAGGGTTTTACTGTATAGCTCTGGCTGTCCTAGAACTCACTCTGTAGAACAGGCTAGTCTTGAACTCACAGAGATCTGCCTGCTTCTGCCTCTCCAAGTGCTGGAACTAAAGGTATGAGCCACCACTTTCCTGTTTGCTAGTATTATGAATCATAATGTAAATTATTTGATGCGTAGGATACCTGATATGAAAGGTTCATTGGAACCCCAAAGGGGTCACGACCCACAGATTGAGAAACAATGCTCTGGATATTCATAGCTGTTGCTTGAATGAACTCATCACAAGTATGGGAACCAGCATAAGATCAAGAGTTAAAAATTCCAATATCCACAGTGTGGCTCACAACCAGGTGTTACTCCAACTACATGGCAGCTGAAGCCCTCTGTTGGCCTCCACCACCTTCAAGCACATTACATACATGCAGGCAGAACCCCATGCACTTAAAATCCCAGCTGGCTGGGGAGGGGCTCTGATGCTTCACCATTAGCTGAGGGACTAATGACTGCTGAGGGATTGAAAATTTAAGATAGTGAAATTATAGATAACAATAGTGGAGGATACATGTTCATTAACTATGTGTTAGTATTCATAGAATGTTAAAAGTACAAAACATTGAAAAGTCACTTTTCTTTGAGGGGGAGAGTTTGGTAGGCTGCTCACGCCTCAAGGCAAGACTTCACATAAATG